GCACTCATTCACTGGTGGCTAACACTTCCAGCACATCAAACAGAACAACACACCTACACTAACTCAAAACCCATTTGTAACCAAGTTCCTCATCTTAACCAGGCGGCTTTTTCAGCTGTCAGGACCAGCTGTCACAAAACAAATCATCATCAGAAGTGCCTGGCTTTTCAGGAGTTGCTCCTCACAAGTATAATTACAGCAAATCAAACATACACATGTGAGTGCTTGCTCTCTCTCCCACCCTCCATTGTATTAATATTTTACTCACATTTTCATGTTCATGTATCAAGGGAATACTACAAACTACAGCTAAGACAGAGAAGTGGCAGTATTAGTAGTAGCAGTAGATGTCACAGGTGACCCATGGAAGAAACAGAATGGTGCGGGGAGAGACTGCAGTTTGAATGTTTCAGAACCATGGAGAGAGTCAGACAGAGTGACTGGAGGTCATTTCACCATACAGAGTACGCCAAGTTTGGTATCGCGTCCTTGGGAGTGTGAACTTGCCAAGTTCAACTTGAGAGTCCAAACTCTCCAAAATGGGAGGGCGCAGTATGCTCAATATGCAGTTGGAGCAGCAGTGTTCTTGCTGCCATCCATTCCAGCTCAGCTGGGATCTAGTGATTAGGCTACACTTCAACACAACTGTGCAACTGTTCTGTGACAAAATACCTCAAAGCTTCGCTAACTGGCTTTTTGGGGGAACCAAAAAAGCTTTTTTGGAGCCTTCTACTGGATTGAGGTTGGATTGTGAGTTGCAGCCAACAGTTATTGTCACTCTAATGCACATCTACGACACTTTCACTGTGCTTTCTCAATTATTTATTTCATAATGACCCAGAAGCACACAGAAGCTGCTCAGTGTCCAACACAAACTAACCTTGCATTGACAAAGTTAATCTTCCAAAAGGAATTAGACCATATGTTTAAAACACACCTGAGACATCAGAGGAGCACAACTGGTAAATCACCAAACAGATTCTGTTCTCACTTTGAATGATCATGGACTTTAGCCAGTCGACCACCTCGGGATCTGGTGTGCTAGCTGCCAAGATGAGCGGTCATTCTCACCTGGTCAATGAGTCCTACATCTCTGAAAACACTGGAGCCAATTTTGAAATAGTTTTCAATACTACAGACTTTGAACTGGAACAGTACTCAGGCTGTGACTGATGACGTTTCACGAGTTCAAACGAACACAGACACAGACGAGAAAGAAGATTGAGAGAAGGCCTTAGGTTTGAGCGTTTCAGCACCATCAAGAGAGACAGATAAAGAGACTGATTTTCAGTATTTCAGCACTACAGACAGAGGCAGATTGAGAGGGACTGGATGTGAGACTGCCATGGGTAAAGTGTGTTTTTTTTTCCCTCAAGCCTCATTCTTAACTAAGGCCTAGTTTAAGCATTATTTTTGTAGAGGCAGAGAGCATTAGAGAAAAGTAGCTGGAGAGGGAATGAGAGGGAGGTGGAGAGATATGATGTAAATAAAGTCTCTGTGAAGAGAGTCTCTGTAATGTGTGATCCTATCTAACTCTCTTTGAAGGTTTGCAACACCTACGCTCCTTCAAAGACAAATCTCAGGGGACAAAAACCTCTGCCCCACACAACTGTACAAGACACCTTTCACATGCTTACACACACACATGTTCATACAAGACAATCACAAGGTGTGTAGACTTCCTGACCCTCATTTTCCCTGGATATGCTTTATGTGTTTCTGCATGCAGGCACACATCTGTATGCTAGAGTGCATGTGTGTGAGTCAAGGCTTTTCTGTTTTAAAAGACTAATTTCAGGGGACAAATGGCTCTAATGGCTCATGAATGCATGCATGTGTGTGACTGTGCATCCACGCCACAGGCTCGCTGGTATACAATAGCACATGATGAGAGAGAAAGCCCTTTAAATTAAACATTGAGGTCTTTGAAAAGACAAAAGAGGTAAAAAAGCAAGAGGGCAGAAAGGTAATGTGCAGTCCTAATGGAGCTTGGTTACATGAGCAACATGCCTCCGAGGTTTGATTAGCGTGAATAACATATTTTGATGCCAATTCAGCGTCAGAATAATAATGAGTCAGTACTCTATTTACTACAGTATGCATATATCGTTATTAAGGGTAGGTGAGAATGACTCAGACTGAGTCATCACTCACCAGCCTAGCGTCTGACAAAATACTGTGGTCCAGCACTAAGCGGTCAGTTTATTTTGTTGTCTCCGCCACAGCACAGACTTACGCAAAGCCACGACAACTGTAGAAGGTAATCATATGCTGCCCTCTGCTCCTGCTGGGACTGTTTCTATGCTGTGATAAGTCAGGTGTTTTCCCGTCTAAACCATTGAGTGGGTTGTTTGAAACTACAGTAGCCATCCTTCAAGTTCACGGCTGTGGGTTCAGCGTGGTTTCTCAACTGCTGAGTGGGCTATTTGAGTTGAGAGAGATCAGCTTTAAGGCAGAAATGCACCATGTGAGCGGCAAAACTCCCCCAACAAATGTATGTTTTACTACCTCTTTCTGCAGAGGTAGTCCACAGCAAACCTCGAAACAGATAAAGGATAGCCCACAACAACCAAGAGCATCTTGAATTGAAAGGTAATTTATTTTAATTAAGCTGTAAACCAGTGATAAGCCAGGTGTCCCTGTGCAGGCAGTTGTTCAGGTATACTATGTGTCCTGTAGTGCAAAATTTACTGCTCTGCACTTAGGGGGAGTGATGGTCTTAATTGAGTGAAAAATCAACATGAACACTCTTTCCTCTAGCATCCAAGCCACAAGCGCTCTCTCTTAAAAGCACAAGTGGCACTTAAATCAGGCTCTGTGGACCGATAAGCATGTTTTGCCAAAGGGTAAACGTGATCACAGTGCATAACACTATCTTATCCAATATGATTTTTATAGAACACTATTGGGTGCTGTGTGAGATTTACGTGGGACAAAACCTCCTACAGTTGCTGTTTAAATCTGACCAGAGCCACGTGGCCCTATGCACTCACTAGTATTTTTCAAAAGTGTACTCCCAGGACTGCTTGTCTTATATTTACCAAGGTTATATCAACATAATGCAGGAGTAAAAATGAAAAACAGCAGGGTTAAGATGTTAAATAAACTCTCACAACCAGCTCTATTTCTAATAAGACATAATCTCTGTCTAATTCACCGAAGAAGTGGGAAGACTTCTGTCTGACTACATTAAATCCTCTCAATGCAGTTATTTCAAGTGTCACTGTGCATTAAGTTTAATAAGAAAATGGTTTAAAGGATGTTTGTAGGTTACGCCACGCACAAATTTAAAAGCACACTTGACATACTGCTTCTGATTTACAAATGTGTTTCTTGAGACCTTCTTGAGTTCCACTTCTTCAGAGCGTCAATAAATAAAAAGCCTTGGTTCAAGGTGATCCGGAGCTATGAATAAGCTGAACCTTACCTAAACCTTAGCTTTAGAAAAAATCCATGCTAGAGAGCAGAATGTGGGAGTCTTTCCTTGAAGACGGGGTTGCACTCATGACCGTCAATCTGACTCAGGAATATAAAAAAAAAAGATAAAATCAAAGAAAAGAATGTCCTTGCCTTTAATGTCTTTAAAAGAAAGTAAAGTAGTTTTTTTGGATAATCTTTACAGCATTTTGCCCATCAACTAATAAGGCGGAAAGACTCCTGGCCGCACCCTACTGGATATGCAAATAAATGCATATTTCCTGCCCTAATTGTTGCCTGATAAAGCACAAAAAAGCCAGTCAGCACAGTGTGGCATACTTTACTGCGTAAGATATCTACCTTAACAAGGTTTTACTATCACATTTGTTTAAAAATCTGCCATTAGGGTGAGGTACTTGTTTCAAGAATAATTTGTTTCATTAATTTTCAGTACAGAAAAGCTGTCGGTTTTTAAGAGAAGCAAATTAGGCAGTAAACTGATAACGTTAAAAAAAAAAAAACCTATGCATGATTCAGTAAAACTCTTGAAAGGGCTTCATTTTCATCTGAAAAGAGTTGAATTACAACCTCAAGGATGCATTTTTTTTCCCTTTTTTTTTTTTACCTGGAGCGAAGGTTTGTTGAAAGAGTTCTCCCATGCTTTATGATTTGGCATTGTGCTTCACTGTAGCCGCGTGAGGCCTCCTGGATAATTATTTCACAGATTCACACCAGAATACGTTCATCAGCCCCAAGTATAGTCAGCTTTTCAAAAGGACTCACCTGCGCTGATTAACCAGCTCCTACACAACAAGAGTGAGTCAGACTATCTTTGAACTGCACTGATAAAGAGCAGAGGAGTGAGGCAAGAGACACCAAGATGTTACAAGAGTTTTCACAGTGCAATGTATCAATCAAGCTGTCAGTAGCATATAAAGTTGTGAGAATATAATTGGCCTGCAGGGAGTCTTCAACACGCTAAATGAACTGGAAATATACATGTTAAATCCCTGTGCCATCATCCGTCATTTATCCGCAGCCATGTGTCCTGCACAGATGCCCTTCAGCATGATATGAATGGTGCTCTGGATAATGTCATTACCGGAAGCTATAGCCCTTTGCATTTAGGTTGCAAGCATGCTGACAGAAGTGGGTTGACAGCCTAATCCAAGAGGAGGAATTTAGTTGAAACCACAGATTTTACGGTGTGAGTTCAGTTAAATATCAAAGCTATAGAAAATGCACTTTGGGATAGTTTTTGTCACTGGGTGTACTCATGATGATGTTCTTGGAGGGCAAAGTGCGCTCCAAGGTCTGTGGGACACAATATGAAATGCGCAAAAGCAGCTTGGAGAACGAGGTGAAGGGTAAAACGAATTCACTTTACCCAGAATTCACTACAGGATTTCACACAGCCTACATCAGTATGCAAATTCATACTGCCACAGCAATGGAAGTTCAACAGCAGGCTAAAGTTCACAACGACTTTCCCCACAAAATGTGTAATTATTAGGGGTTGTCACTAATCACCTTTGTAATTATATATAAAAAAAAAAATAACTGCAAGGGACGACAGGTCTCACCCGAGTTCCTCAGCTTGCGGTTCCTGAACACCGAGATTATCACCAGCAGATTTCCCAGCACGTCCACCACCGTGGTGAAGATCAAAACGCTGGCCAGGATTGCTATGACCCAGGCGGGGCGGGCGCTCCCTTCCGTGGCCAGTGTGCGCTCTAGCTGCCCCAGCCGTGGCTCTGTCCGGTTCTTTATGATTGTGAATGTGTCCGGCATCACTGGCCAACAGCCAAACGCTGCTCTCAAGTCCCAACTGTGCTTTATGTCCCGCAGGCACTGCCGGTACCGGTGTGTCCTAAACGAAACATGGGGCGCACCTGGATGCCTTCCCGAGTTCCACAAGAGCGCACGTCAAGTCTGCTACTTAAAGGCAATGTTTGAGTTACTTGATATTACGCGTCGCTCACGTGTGACCTATATAAAGTTACAGGGACTCTTCGCTTTCTTTATCCTCGCACAAAAGTCATCCATCTATGTGCCAACAAAGGCTGAGGCGGTGCCACAACTCCTCCCTTATGAGAAAATGCAAATTATTTGTCGTTTAGATAATATTTCATAAAAGAAGGTCCGGTCCACTCATATTTCAAGTCTTCATCCTCTCCAAGTGCCCCTGGCTTGCTGCTTGGCATCTCTGACTCTCATTCGTATGCATGCGCCCACGTTGGAAAAAAAGAAGGCTATTCCTTTCTAAAATGTCAAACCATTGTACCGCCTCAGGAGTCCTGCCGATTTAATTTGCTATTCTCTGAACAAACGGAGGAGCAAATTGTCTTCCCTAACCATTTGTGATGCCCTTGCCACGCGCTGAACTACGACGCAACCGGCGCTGTGCGTGGCGAGGAGGCACTGTGGTAAATAACACAGAGGAGCCCCTCAGTCAGGCACACAGCAGGATGAGGAGAATCCACAGAGTGGGGACGAAATGAGACAACGGCTTCACAAACAACATTTTTACCTCCGACTTTATGTGTTTATCCCTTTCTCTCCCTCCTCTGACTGTTTTTGACTTTCTCACTCCATCTCCCGTGCTGAGGTGTGCGTGCAAACAAAGATTCCTCTCATTTTCGCCCGCCTTTTCCCAGCGTGACTTCCCAGAATCTGCCTTTGATCTCGGCACAATGCTCGGAGTTGCCCTAAGTGTACACACAGCGGTGGGTCTTACACGGGAAGTCCAATCAGCCCACTGTGAGTTGTGTGGAGCATTTGTCACAGATAAGCCCGAGACTATTTTGGAAGTACAATAATTGCGCATAACAAAATCAGTCATGTTTTCAGCTGCAGGCCTTTGTCTTAAGTTATACATGCATTCCTACTTTGTGATTTATTAGCTGTATTAAAACCTGTGTTAATGCATTAACCTTTTAATAACAAAAACACAAGATGAGAATAATCATTAAACAGCTGGAAGGGTCTTTCAGTTGCAGACACAATACACCATTGATTGAACCAATATTAAGCAGAGTGTGCATGCATCCACCAGGGTGCCATTTTTGGGCTCCGGACTATGATTCACTTTGTGCACAGTGCAGTCAGAGGAAGTAGAGGTGGCAGTCTAATCCCATTCATCCTTTTAAGGTGGGTAACTGGTGGCAACAGTGCTGTCGAACTCTCCATCTGATCCAATGGATTCATATGTCATCGATACTGTCAGTGCCAGTGGTGACACATTGAGGCCAGCGCCATTCACTTGCTTAACTCCTCGCTGCCGGGCTGCAGCGGATGCCCTCAAGCACAACAGCAGGAACAGATTAGAGCAGCCCAGTGTCAGCCTCAAAGCAGGGCGATGTGATGACCAGGCGACAGACAGCTCTGGCTGTGAGGTCAGCCAGATTGGCACACACACACACACACACACACACACACACACACACACACACACATATATAAACACTTTAAATGCAGACACACACTCAGTAGTAGGAGCATGGGCTGAACAGAATCACAATATCACACATCAAGAAAGGCAATGGTGGTACAAACCATAAATCTGCTAATTGAAAACTGCAAAGCCCTGATAATGCTGCGCTATGACTATGGTGGACATGCTTCAAAGACTTCTGAATCTATATCCAATGTGATTACAGTGTTTGCCCGCTTGAAAAGAACCTTCAATAATCTTAGGCACTCACTCATGGCAGGGAAGCATATTGTTGTGGGTAAGGCAGGAATGTTGAAGTGGATGAATGATTATGGGACAAACTGGCCGCAAAAACTGGACACCGACACCGTCCTCTACAAGAACCAGTAGCATAGCTGCCCCATATGGCAATGTTCTCTCTGCTGTACTCCACAGGACAATGCAATTTTATTGATGAGTCCATGTTGGCGAACTCTCACAGTCATTGTTCCGCAGAGAGTTTTGTTAAAATGACCAGATGGTGCCACCAAAACAAACATCCATAGAGTATGTTACAAAGAAAACAAGAGAGCCTGGCAAAACTGTAAGTATAAATTTCTGTGGAAATGATGTAACAAGTGTGACCATATTTATATTCCAGCCATGCATCCAAACAACACTTTGCTACACCACTTATTGAGATGACAAACAGGTTTGGAAAAAGATGTTGCAGTCTGAAGTAGAATTCAGTGCATGGACACAGCATGTGGTAGTACTGTAGTTCATGATAAAACTCAAATTGTTATAAATTATGGATGTGTGAGGGAGGTCTGGTAAACATATGGGTCAATCTTTGTTATAAATAATTAATTGTGTGTATTGGATGAAATGATGAAATGAAAGGAATGATGCTATTTGCTAATGTTGCACTTGAAGTGTCAGCCAGCTGCTCAGTGGACGCCAGTGTTGATCTGTTGATGGTCAACCCAACACTTTTGTCCAGAGTCGGATGAAAACATCTCAACAACTGTTAGATGGCTTGTCATGAAATTTTGCACAGACATTCTTAGTCCTCAGAGGATGAATCCTACTGGCAACTATTAGATGGATTGCTGTTACACCTTTTCCTCTAGGATCATCCTGTGAAATAGTATCACAACATCTACATGATGGATTGGCACACAGTTTTGTATAGATATTCATGGTCCTCAGAGGATGAATCCTAATGAGTTGGAATTTAACTTAAAGCACAGCTGTGCCAAAGTACTGCCTTGCAATGCTGCTAAGATGACTGTGGACTACTGGTAGGTGATGTAACTAAAAGTAATGAGGTGATTATCTTAATAATCACCTTCTGTAGTCCTGCAAACCACAGATGTAACAATTGTATGTCATTATTTTGGGGATATGTTGTAACTTTACGTTTCAACAATGCTATGGTTAACGTGTGGTTATCTTTAGGCACAAAGAGCACTTGGTAATGGTTAGGAAAAGATTGTATTTTGGCTTAAAATACCTGCACAATAGTTGCTGGTAACACTGTGATGTTGCTTAAAGTCACCCAGTTCTGGTGGCATAAACACAGCTGGAAATGCTGAGATGTCCTGCTAATTAACAATTTGTTTGGTTGTTTGTTGGTCTCGAACAGTGATCTGCTGCTGTCTCCCCTACTGTAGGTGTCATGTAACCCACCATCCCCTCCACCTTACAGATGACAAAGTCAGTTCATATACATGTAGTCAGAACTGCGTCTCTTGATACGCTGAAACGTTGATACGATATATATGAAATGTACAAATGTACGTTGTAAGTTGTAAAGTGTTAGCCAGTTGTCTAAAAATTTTTCATTAACGACTTGTTGCCATTTATAACTGCAGATTTGATAAATTATTGTAATACTCCCTTTGAATAGTGTCACAACATTTATATTTGCAGAACACTTACAAACCTGTGGATATTCTCATTCATCCAGGTCATAGTTATCTCAAGGCAATTGAATCGAACGCAACTGGACTTGGTTTTGTCTTTGAAGACGTTTCACCTCTTATCCAAGAGGCTTCATCAGTTCATGCTTGTCTGACTAGGCTGGAACTCGTCTGACAAACTGGTGTGGAAGCACCCAGGTATTTAACCTCTGGGGAGGTCTTCACAAGGCCAGTGATGTCACTGGTTCATTAGTGCTCCAATGGTGTGTCAATGACAGTTGCTGAAACTCCTGCTGCAACGCTGCAATTGGAGTCGTTAGAGTCACATGAGGCCATTTGTGAACGACCTTTGTTTTTAGAGGTTAAGTTGTTGAACCTCCTGGGCAAGGATGAAAGGACAGCATTATAGGTGGGAGGTTCAACAACTTAACCTTTAAAAACAAAGGTCGTTCACAAATGGCCTCACGTGACTCTAACGACTCCAATTGTAGCGTTGCAGCAGGAGTTTCAGCAACTGTCGTTGACACACCATTGGAGCACTAACGAACCAGTGACATCATTGGCCTTGTGAAGACCTCCCCAGAGGTTAAATACTTGGGTGCTTCCACACCAGTTTGTCAGGCTAGTTCCAGCCTAGTCAGACAAGCATGAACTGATGAAGCCTCTTGGATAAGAGGTGAAACGTCTTCAAAGACAAAACCAAGTCCAGTTGCGTTTGATTCAATTGCCTTGAGATAACATTTATAAACTTTGGCAGATGGCTTAATTGAAAAAAAAAAAACGGCAGAAAAACCTTAAGGAAGGGCACACAATGAGAAAATTGTTTCATAATTTGGGACATAGCTAGTTGGCTTTGTTCTGTTTGTTCTACGGAGTGACTGTTTTGAGTGATTATCATGAATCACATCCATTGTATAATTGATTTGTCAGCCCATAAAATGTGGAGCAAAATCTCAGAAATACTGGAATTTGGTGGAGAATGTGCCCTAAACTAAATTTTTATTTACAGAGATATCTAGGTTTGGGATTTCTGCCATTGTTTTATCATTTTATAGCAACACCAAGGAAACTGACACAGAGAGATTCTTCGAGGGCAGAGGTAGGTTGTTAATCTGAGCAGTACATTTGCACTGCCAAGAAATAATTTTGATGTAAAACGTTAGTGTTAGGAGTAGTGTTTTCAAGTGTAACAACAAGAATATTTTTTGGCAAAGGCTGTGCTCTCCACTTGCCTTTTAGGTGTGTTTGTCACACAGTTCTGTGTGTTATGATTGTTCTTACATTTGAGTCATCAGACAGACTGTAAAGGTTACTACCACAGGCATTTCACGCTTGCACAGTTCAACAAGGACCTCATAAAAATCTTAGTTGTTGCAACTTCAGCGAATCTAAATGCTTATTCTGCTGGCGAGCATAAAAACCCCTGATGATCAAAGCACAATATAGAGCAGACCTCCTCCTTACCAAAATCAGATCTCAGCAATCTCGAGGGTGACAGCGTACCAATTCCTCAGAGCTAAAGCAGATAACATGAGGTGCACGATGTGGCCAAATTCCTCAGCAGCATTTTTGATCCATCACTCTGCCTTACCTCTGTTTAAGGCAGCATCTTTACAAGAACAGAGCAAAGTGGGGATTGTTATAAAAAAGTCCAACAGTGTGACACTGAAGGTCCCTGTCAAATGTCAGCGCTCAAGCCAAGACTTTTGGAGGCTAAAATAAACAGCTCTTTTCTGTGTTCTTTGTTTAGTTTGCAGAAAATTACCATATTTCCATCTGAAGAAATGTCCCAAAATTTGAGACAATTAGTCTTTTTTTCTGTCATGTAAATGTGATATTCAACAGCAGGCGAGCTGTGTGGCATAATCCGTTGACATTTATGCACTTTCATCATGCAAGAAAATCCAATAAAGGACATGAAGTATGCTGCAGAGCAGTTAACTTCCCTGTCTGACACATAGCCGTTTTGGAGGCATATGCCAGAGGATTGCCTTAGTAATAATCTGTTACAACAGCAGGGGGAAGGGGGTGATGGAACAGGGCTGGTACACAGATTCCTCTCAGTCGTACACAGCTGAGGACAGCTTTCTGATGTGAATTCATATCATCATACATGGGCGTGACCCCTTGC